TAAAATGATGGTGGAACTAGTCATGAAAAAGATTTGTCAATGTTTGAATTTACAATTTTCCAAAGAAAAAAGTATGTTCACTTTCTCACCCGTTGCAACATGTAAAATCACGTTCGAAAACGTTCGAAGAACGAACTCGAAGTTGTCAAGATAGATATTCCATGCTGCAAAATAAGATCAAGTGGATCAAGACGATTTTCTTTTACAGAGCTATCGTAGTTGAAATTATCGAACAATTTTTCGCCAATGTTAGTTCAGTTATGCTCTTCACTAGTAGTACACACATAAAGTGAAATGAAAGAAGCAGAATAATTGATGACCGTATAATATTCGGCGAGATATGGAAACGAGCACGGATTATCCTGCCATTTTTCGCTCGTAGTACACCATCCTGCAAATTACTTTGCGTAATGCGCAGTCCGTTATCGTAATTACTTCAAACAGATCGCAGATAAAAGCACGAAACTCACGTGTGAGCCCTCAGTCACGAAAGGTGAACATCTAATTGTTTTAGACCTTCTCGGCGTGTTAATAATAGATCAGTTTTATTTAGGTCAGAAGAATGACCCCCTTTAGCTGAAGAATGTTTCATGCTCGTGAAAAGGCAAAACTCTTACTTTGTCTGACAATTAAATTTATACACTCTGCCATTCTCTTTCAGTAAACTGAAATCGATAAAAAGCTGGCGAGGAACGTAAGTGACGGTTGTTGTTGTGAAAAATAGAAACTTTTACGCAGAAACGGTTGCTTTGTATTTATCATACAAAATTGTTGTACAACTGTGTGCCCCAACATTGTAGAAAATCGTCCAATTTAGATCTTCAATTAATCACAAAAGATTTACAATTTACCAAGCGGTTTGAATGGACAATGAAGGTCGTTCAATTTTATAATTACAATGAAAGTTCGTCATATATAATTATTATCATTAATATTCATTGCAATTGCATGTTATATCGTATACATTATATATGTTAATATTCACATAAAATTTAATATATTTTATATTTAATATATTTCCAAACGCAATTCCCGTCGTCACAACAAAAGAAGATACATTTCTCCATTTCCCGGTGTAACATCCTCAAACCCCATTCCTCGCTTATCAAATATTCAACCGCACGTGCACAGAGACAAACAAACGGTCCACCCTTCAGGCAGGTCTGTAAAACAAGCGTAAAATGACATTTGGCGAATGGAATTCCTCGAACGACCATCGTAAAGACACCAGGCCGGGATCGCTGCGCGAGCAAGTGACACAACCACGCAACAACTCCGACCAATTGCTTCGAACACCAAGCGGAGTTCATTCGAATTTTTCTCGCGAATTTTATTTCCCGCCTAGCCGACGAAAGCTACGAAAGCAGCTCAAAGCATGAAAGATGCGCCGCGCCGGTACAATTCATCCGCCGACGTATCAATATTTACGCGAAAGAGATCCGGGGGGGGGGAGCGGATATCAATATTTTCCGCGCCGCGCGAATCGAAATTTAATGCAATTTCTCTGTGCCGGTCGCGTTCGTTTCTCCCCCCCCCCTTTCTCACGCTTTCGATGTGCAAAGTTCGCGCCATTTCCATTTCAATCCGGCGGGGCAACCGCGACCTAGGAAAAGAAAAAAAAAGAAAAAGATTAAGGCGGATTAAAATAAGACCGCCGTGGGACTATGAATAGCGGATTCGAACGATCCCCCGGCCGCAAGCTTCGTTTTAATCCGCCGGCAGAGCCGGTTTTTATTGTGCCGGGATGCTTCTGATGAGCCGGGAATAATTAACTCGCGTTGCACGTTTGAAGTGAAACGCGCGATACATGAATTCGATTGCTCGAACTTCCAAGATGTTTCTTTTTTTAAAGATTTTATTTGTTAGCATGAGAAGATCAATGATTTATTCAATTGTCACTAGATATAAATTGAAAGGGATGCAAACGTTACTTCTACTACTTACGAAGAAGATAAAGAGAAAATAGCATACGAAGATCGGAGGCAAAGTCGATGATTTATTTATTTAATTGTAAGTTAAATATAAGGTCAAAGGAAGTTAGTTCTATCAAGTTAAAATTATTGTAAATGAAGTTAGTTCTATCAAGTTAAAATTATTGTAAATGACTTACAATTATAAGAGATAAAAAAAGAAGATAAAAAAAATAATACATAAAGACGTGAAATAAATAAAGAAAAATAGATCAGAAGCAAGATTAACGATTTGACTAGATTAGTTCAAAGAGACATAAATATCACTTCTATCAAATTATTGTAAATTACTTACGAAGAAAATAACTCAAAGACAAGATTTATTTAATTGTTAAGTTCAGAAGAATATAAATACTATTGCTATTAAATTACTGTAAATCACTTATAAAAAAAAAGAATCTGACACTGTCAAGGCAATGAACGAAAGAGAAACACTTTATAATAACTTTAAATATAGTATCATCACGTTCGCTGTAACACTGTCTATTTCGAAATTTTCATCCGACAAGCAGCAGAGGCTTTCTCGCAGCCTCTTGCGGATATAGCTTAAACATTTAAGTCAATGTGTGCAAAGTGGTTCCAAGTTTTTTGATAACGCTCGAAAGTTGCCGCCAATGGAGGAAGTGCTTTGCATGCGAAATCTGACGGAACATGAAAAATATTCCATTCCCTGCTGCGTGATACGATACAATACTACGCTATCGTTCTTACTATAACTTGAACCGCGATATCGTCGTTATTAGCTTAATCCTCTTTCCACGATCCTTATTGAAGAGAAAATTTAATTTCGATTCCACTCGATATTTTATTCGATCTGGGCAATTACAAAAAAAAAAAAAAAATTGCACGAACATTAGAATAATTAGCATAAATTATTATCAAGGTACGTATATCATATACAGGGGAAAGTATAACCAAATCAACAAATTATGTAACAATCCATTGTTTCAATCCTCGTTTCAAAGCGTAAAGTCTCTGAATTCACGTCTCTTCTCAAAAAATGATTTTGCACCATGAATAAATGGCAATGATAAATTGTAAAAATTCGAACGTCTCTAAAATTTTTCCCTACGACTCAGATTCATCGCAGTTTCAAAGGCTGAAATTTCCTCCTTAAAAATTTGCTGTACGACCTTGCTTCAACATTTTATTGAACTTCGAACGAAATTTCCGGATTTCTTAAATTTTTGTCGTTCAACTCTAACACTCGAAGTTTAACAAAAAAGAAAAGAAAAAGTCATACAGCAAGTATACTCCAAGAGACTGCAAGGTTGCAAGGAGAAAGTTTCAATCTTCAAGATTATTGCGAATCCAGTTTGTGAACAAATGATTTCAGAATAACTCACGACTGTCAAAACAGAGGCTCTATGTTTTAAAATGATCACGTGATTCTTTTCTTTTCAAAGTTATAACAGCATAAAACGACGATATTCGACGTATCTTCGTTTGTGCTTTTCGCTGTAAAATTTAATAAACATCGAAACTTGAATCCCGAATTCTTATCAATCGCGCTTCGTTTAATTACACTCCGCTCCGATTTATTAGCGATGAAGAGAAAACCAAGGGAAACGTGATAACGAAGCTCGGGAAAATTCTTCTGCGAATCGATATCAGACTCGGTCAGGACTTGCAACAATTGATGATCTAACTTTTGGGAGTGATCCAGCCGCGCGCTCGATGCATTTCATTTCTACGGCATGACAACGGAGCCGAACCTTTCAATCCGCACGACTGAAATTTTTATAACTAGGCCGTCATTCTCTTCTCTCGTTTTCGTTTCTTGCCGAACTCTGCCTTCCCTGCTTCCAAATAAATTTGATCCGTGCGGGCCGAAAGCGAGGCATATCAATAATTAGAAAGAAAGAAAGAAAAGAAAAAAAGCATTTCAACAGTATACAGAATTTTCTCCATAGTTCGTAAAATTGCTAGTGGAACTCATGCCAAGAATAAAAATATTCAATGATAGAAATTATTGATAAAAGATTGCAAACGAAAGATGGAGATTTAAAGAAGAAGTTTTCTTTTTTTTTTTTCTTTCTCGAGTCGCAAATATTTTCATGCTGAGAATAAAAATATTCGTAGATGGAACACACGCTGGAGATAAAAATATTC